GAAAGAAATAAGAGAGAGAGAAAGAGGGTTAGAGAGTTAAAGGTGGTTGGGAATTTAATTGGCCATCACTTTTCCTTTTTCTTTATCTATTTGAGCCATGTAAGTATCCACTCACAAAAAACCTTGTGAGTAGTTTAACTTTTTCGAGGCGGGGGAGGGAAACTTATACATTACTCTTATATTCACAATGACAATGAAGTTGGGGTACTTTTCGCCATCGTTGGCTTTGGTTAATGCATGTATTAAAAAGAAGGGTAATGTCTATTTTTTATCCAAACCTTTTTCAGATTCTTTTTTATTATCCAAACCTATTAAAATGTTATTAATTAGCCAAATCTTTCGTATTTCATCGAAATATTAGCCTTTTTTACATTATTGTTAATCATTTTGTAACTTTTTTCTTAGTTAAAATACTAAAATTTTGGAATGTTAACCTTCATGTGTCTCTTTCAAGTCAATATCATGTTACCAAGTCAATATTACTAACAAAATTGCTAATTGAAAGTCAACATTTGGCTAATTTTTAGTATTTCGATAGGTTTGGATAATATAAAAGAATTTGAAAAAGGTTTGGATAAAAAATAGACATTACCCTAAAAAGAACCAAGACCTTTTACAATTTCTTTCACAGCTTTCATCGCCTCCATTCATAATTTATATCTGGTATTTATTATGAAAAAATGAGTATAATCAACTTTACCTCTCTTATATTTCGGATCTCCCTAAAATAAAAACATTCATGTTATTAATGGGTACCAAATTGTAACTTCTTCAAATAGATTTGACAAAGTTTGTTGTAACTTAAATAATTTTGATTTGGTGTAGGATGAGTTCTTATATAAGTTTTAAGGCTCTTATGATGACTTATTTAATAGTAAAATTTAGGTAACAAGTTATAAACCATGTTAAGTTCGGGTACTAAATTGTAACTTTTTTAGATTGATTTGGTAATGTTTGTTTTAGCTTGAATTCTTCAATTTGGCATGGGTTGAGTCTAAGGTAAGTTTCAAAACACTCATGATGACTTGTTTGAAAAAAATATTAAAACTAAGGTACCGAGTTGTAAGAAGATAATAAGTTTAGATACTAAATTATAACTTTTTTACATAGACTTGGCGACTTTTTTTGTAACTTATGATTCTTCTAATTTGGTGTGGGATGGGTCTTAGGTAAGCTTTAAGACAGTTTGATTACTTATTTGCAAGTTAGTAACATTGAGGTACCGAGCCGTAAAAAGCGTTAAGTTCATGTACTAAATTGTAATTTGTTTAAATAAACTTCAATATTTGTTATAGCTTGAATTATTCTAAAATAAACAAATGTATATGGTTAGAAGGAGCGTGGTCAAAGCATAACTCATTGGCGACTCACTTTTAAGTATGATGCATAATAATTAAATCATTGCACAATAACATAATTTAGATTTATTATCTTAACAAAAAATACTTAAACATGTTACTAATAACCATTCATCATTCTATAAAACTTATAATTCAACTTCTTATGGGTGGATATTATTATAATTTTTAAATTTTAGCTCTACAAATAGCACCTCCCTTTTCAATAGGTTGATTATGGCTGGTGAGCACACTAAAATATATGTGCATCTAATCAGTAAAAAAAAAATTATTCTCGGTAACTTTTCAAAGACTACACCTTTTGTTATGGGACAATTTTCAAAGTATATGTTGAAAGCTGAAAAAAACTATGTTTAGCCTCAAAGCCCTTAAAATCCATAAATATGCCCTCTTCTCAAAATGAACACTAATAAAATGGTATTCCTTAAAAATTCACGCGAATAAAAGCAAGTTTCTGCTGATTGGATGTTAGAGCAGAAAGTTACAGCCCTCCAAAGTTTGACAAAATGGAAAAGTGCACTTTTGGACGACTAAATTAGTACATTTCGGGAAAATTGGAACCAAAATGCCTTTGACTTCCCGGTTGTGTAGATCTTTAAATGTTAAGCTAAGTAAGAAAAAACATTTTGCATTGATCCGATAACCAAGCGCAAAATTATGACCATCTGAAGTTTTGACATATATTATGTGGAAATAGTTGGTCTTCCCACGATTTTGTTGCAAAATCGATGGGTTGCAATGACAACACTTTGGAAAATTCTATGGATCCCAAAGATCTTGCAACAAAATTGCTGGATGCCCCAACGATTTTGGTCGTTTGAAAAGTATTAGTGGTAACATAGTATTTTAGTAGCTTGTGTATTTTATAGCTAATTGGGTTACAAGTATAAACACGAAATTGTTGAATTAATGACGAGAAAAAGACATGTACAAAACAGTCGATAATGAAAATGTCATTCACATCACTAGCTAAAATCGAAACCAATGATGACTATAGATCTCTCTTCATCTTCTTAGTCGCCACAACTACTAGTACTAACTATTAACGCCCCTTTTTGAGAAGATATTTATAAAAAGTGTTCGTGTATGTGTGCTACAATTTTATTGATTAAGCATGGGTTCATTATTAGCCAACCCAAAATGATTCGTTTGCCTTTAATCATTTTGGTCTTGGGGATCCGTTAACTCCATCGTCAACCACAAAATCTTACCTAAAAATCTTGTCAGCTTGCTGCTCCACCTTTAGCTAGTTAGTGCTTCATATTTGGGCATCTTTCTTAGTAGTAGTAGTGTTGTTTTAAGTATATGACATTATTAGCTATTGTTATAGGCTTCGCCATAGTACTATAGGCGAAACAAGTTCATAATTGATCTATAATACTGGGTTATACCTTAACTGACCATCTTATTGGTTTTTGATGGACTGGTCAAACTGTTCAAACTAAATTCTATCGAAATCAATTATAGAATCATTTGATTTTGATGGACTGATCGAGCGACTGAATCAGCCAAATTCTTCATCTCTCTGTGCTCTTCTCCATCACTGGTCATTCCTCTGCTTCTTTCATCACACATTTGCTCATGTCCATTGGGTTCATCCAAATTCGATCGATAAAGTCAATCGGTTTAACAACCTTACTTTAAACACATATAATCATATGAGCAGCGGTGGTTGATGAAACAGAAAAATGGGTGAAAAATGGGAATGAGAAACATGTAGCCGACCAGAATTATGTTATTTGGGAAAGAGCAATGATTATCAAAGATGCATAAAAATATAGCATGCTTGGCCATCTTTAGCAAATAAAGCAAATCAATGGAAAGAAGAACAGTTCCATTGAGACATTTGTTTTGTTCAGTCTATTGTTGGGGGGGAAAGGAAAACGTGGGTCCAAATGCAAAAGAATCACTTTGCAAGAGGAAAACCAGCATAGGTCATCATATGCGATGATATGATACTTAAGCATTAACTTCCTCATTACCTTTCTTATAGGGCTGAAAAACCGCACCAAGACGAAATCACAAACAAGTGACTGCGCCACAAATGGTTTGTGTTTAACTGTCATAGTCGAAGACGATGGAAACAAAAAATCGAAAAATAAATTTGGTGAAGAGGTCATCGACCTCCAAGATGAAAAAACAGAGGGTTGGATTGGACTCATCAGGCTCTAAGTTGGTGATGGTGGGATCATCAACATGAAGCATTTCTTCGGGTCAAATATTCTATAATTTAGTGCAAATTGTGGTTAGTTGTTCGGTTATGTCTTTATTGTGTGCAGTTTGCGGTTAGTTCACAAACCGTAAAATGACATGTCCTCCTAGCTGCGACCGAATAAGACCTCATTTAAACAATTATCTGTTAACCTCAACCCGCACTTATTAGGTGCGATTTCTATTTAACCGCAAAACCGCAAGCATTTTCTCAACCCCCCCCCCCCCCTACTTTCTTAAGCACGTTTGTCCTTATAGATCAAAAGAAAATCTTACGTAGATTAACTCGAAATTGATAAACACACTAAAAAATTAAAATGTATTCGGTTATATTCACCGGCTAGGTACATAGAAACAAGTTGCAACAAGGATGAGTAACAAAATTTTGACCACACAAGATGAAAACGGTAGAGGTTTCGGATCCGAGAATGAAGATAATCATATATCCACCTTAAACCTACTTCATGGTCATCCACAGACCACAATACACTTATTAGTATATTTCTGATTGGATACTTGATGATGTATATTAACTAACTAAGCATTATTATCGATACATATATCCTTATAATTATAAATGTAACCCGTTATTAGCATCTAATTGCTTTGCTCAATCATATGTCCCAATGATGAAAGCAAACCATATCATATATATAGGGATTTCCTACGGTAACTTGAAGTAAGGTAACTTGAATTTTTTTACTTGCTATAGCAGTTTTCACAGGTCGTATTACGTAAAACACAATAGGCATTACGTAATGGTTACGTAACATATGATAATCTTACGTAACAGTTGTAAAAGATCATTACGGAAGCCTTACGTAATAGAATGTGTCTTTACGTAATGAGTATTAACCTCGCGTTATGCAAAATGCAAAGTCATTACGGAAGCCTTACGTAACGCTACTGAATTAACTGTTACGTAAGAAATAAATGTCGTTTCGTAACCTTTACGTAATGGAAGGTCTTTTTACGTAATGAGTATTAACCTTGCGTTACGTAAAGTGCTAAGTCATTACGGAAGCCTTACATAACGCTTCCAATTTAACTGTTACGTAAGAAATAACTATCATTCCGTAACCTTTACGTAGTGAATGGGTATTTTACGTAACAGTTGTAAAATATCATTACGGAAGCCTTACGTAATAGAAGGTCTCTTTACGTAATGAGTATTAACGTCGTGTTACGTAAAGAGCTAAATTATTACGGATGTCTTACGTAACGCTTCTAATTCAATAAGAATTAAAAAAGGAAATGTTAAAATATGGAAAGACAACTAAATGTGAAAAAAGGAAAGAAAAAATTGAAAAAGGTAACTTGGGAATGTAGTGACCGGCAACTCATGTTGCCATTTATTTTTTAGTTATTTTTTTATTTTTTATTTTTTTAATCAATGGTTTAAAATAAGTGTGGTCAATTTTAACGGTTTAGATCTATACAAGTTACCTAACTTGAAATTATACTCAAGTTACTGTAGGAGATCCCATATATATAAGTTAAACATGCAAAGCATGGCGGGCACCACAAGAGAGGGGCAAGAACCAAACTGGAAATTCGACATTCTACAACAACGACATAAACCCACCCTAGTACCCAAATTTCCATATTCATCCCTCCCTAGTACTCAAAATCTCCTATATAAGCTACTTACTACCACCACAAACCCCAACAGAGAAACCCAAAATAAAAGAGCTTCATTCACACACAACACAAACAAGGCCTTGTTTAGTAGAACGTATTTTCTTCCAAGTTTTTTCCGGTCCATTTTTCTTTGGGCCTTGTTGAAATCCGATCATCCTTCCTCCCAGGCCCAGGCCCAGGCCCAGGCATGTAGTTAACCAGAGATGGAAATGGTCAACGGGTTTCCCGGTCAAACGTTCTCCGACGGAGGGAGCAGCGGCTGACTGAGACCAGACTTGACGTGGCCGTGGATCCTGCTGCTGCCGTTGTTGTTGCTTCCCTGGTCCTGCCCTGACTGGATCGCAGCCTTCTCAAGGTTCGCAAACTTCCTCTCTTCGTTCTTGCCCCACAACACGAGGTACAATCCGATTATGATCAGCACTGCCCCAATAATCCTGTACATCCGCGCCCACGCCAAACAGAAAACAACAACAAATCAGCAATCAGCCAACCCAACCAACCAAAACCCTATCCAAATAATTAAAACTCGAAAGGTAAAATCATCTTTCTTCTTCTTCCTCTGCCCCCACTTCCCCCTCGTGCCCTTGTCATTTCCGCGGTTCAAGCCAAACCGCTAGTAAGATAGTGCGAAGGAACGAAGTTGCTCGACCGATAGAGGAAAAAAAAGAAGGGCTTACCCTCCGAGGAAGAACTTCTCGCCGAGAGCGAGGGAGGCCATAATGGCGACGATAAGGGTCTGAACAGGCTGATACACGGCCACAAACACAGGGCCCCCTCTGTCAATGCACCATATCTGGACAGCAAACGCGATCCCAGATGCCACCACTCCCTGCAAAACATAACCAACCCTACAAATTAAAGACACCACCACCACCACCGCCATAACCAAAAACAGAAGCTTCTCCATCACCCATATGAAGGGACCATTTTCTATTATTGACCACCTGCCCTTAACCCACTTCTCATGTCACTTCAACCAGTCTATAACTTCAACCCTACAGAAGGGTGGGTCGAATTATTGATTTATTTCCCTCCGACGATTAGTTAACGGTCAATTAACCCATTATTGTACTGACCGCGTAGAGGATGGTGAAGAGTTCGCCGCCGGAGTGGAAGACCCAGGCCTGGGCGTCGCGCTCGACGATTCCGGCGATGACCAGGAACTGGAGGAGGCCGAAGAAGCAAGTGTAGGAAGTGACGGAGAGTCTGGCGGGGTATTTCTTCAGGATCGGGGCCTGGAGGACGAGCCAGCCGGACCAGGAGAGGCAGTGGCCGATGAGGAAGATGCAACCCAGTGTCCAGTTCCCGCTGTCGGCCTCGTCTCCCAGCTTCGAGACGTAGCTGGGGACGGACGAGGTCGCGGCGGAGGCAGAGGAAGTGAGCAGGTTCGTTAGCGGCGGAGTTGGGGTGTAGATCGCCGGACCCTTGTAGAGAGTGATGACGGTGGCTCCGGCGACGCAGCAGAGGGTCCCTAGTGCCTTCGAGATCCCGTCTTTTCTGTCGAATCGTACTTTTTCGATTCTGTGAAGAAAAACAGGGGAAGCTCTGTTTAGTTTTTTAAAAAAGTTGGACGAATTTGGAGCGAGCAAGAGGGGCGAAAAGGAAGGGAACTTGCCGGAGGATGGCGGCCATGAGGAAGGTGATCGCCGGGACGGAGTTTTGTATGGCGGAAGCGAAGGTTGGGGAAGTGTTGTTCAGGCCCAACAAGTAGAAGCCTTGGTTTGCAGTGATACTGTTTGTGAAAATGCCACAGAGAAAGGAAGAAAACCCTAGCAGGTCAGTAAGTTCCATTTTCATTTAGCCCTTTTCAGGTTCAATTCGTATTATAAGTTGAGCATTATGAACATACCCAATAAGAGCCAGGAAGAAGAACTGAACTAGGAAGTTGAGGGTGATGGCTGGTCTTTCCTTCCTGTATCAAGATCATGATCAATCAATCAATTACAACTTATGCCGTGATCATAAAGCTTCACAAAATGAACAAACTTTGGCTGCAGATAAATTTTGTAGGGGTGACAAAGTAACGTACTTCTCAAGGAAGTAAGCAAAGGGAAGGAGGAGAAGCAGGGCGATGATGTTCCTGTACACAGGGAACACAAGCATGCTGATGCCCATGTTAAGGGCAGCTCTGGAGACGACATGGAAGCCAGCATAACCAAACTGCAAGGCCAACATGGCCAAGTGCAGTTGCATCTTTTCAGGCACCGAGCACCACATTCTGCCTCCAGAGCCACCACTCCCACCTGAGCCGCCATTGTCAGCCATGGTTGAAGCTTAGTGGAAGGTGATGAGCAAAAGGGGGAGGGTGGGGAAGAGAATTGGTGTGTAAGTGTGGAGAGCAATGAAGGTGGCTTATGGGTATAAATACACAAAGGATTTGGCAATGGCTACTGCAAAGCCTCACTGTGAAGTGGAATTGCGAGGGAGAAGAGGGTCAATGTGGTGGGGACAGAAAAGAAAGGGTTCCTCTTTCTGTCAAACTAGTAATAGCCCTTTCAAATGTGTTTTTGGGTTGTCTCCCACATTCTTCTTCCTTTCTTCCTTTTCTCTCTTCTATATACATTCCATGGCCACCCTTTTTTTTCTTTTATCTCTTGCTTTTGCTTCTTGGCTGACAAGACAACACCCAATCGCACTATGGAGGGGCTATTTTTACTAAACTATGATCATCAAGAGAGGGGAAAAGTGCTCAAAGTGAAAGGGGGGATGAGATTAGATTAGTTATTAGGAGGGAATCGTGATGATCTTGCTAATATCATCATCCTGTCAATCACGGTATAAATTTTTTTCTAACAGTATGTACAAGTTTTAAACTCATTCTGGGTATTATGAGTTACAAGAAAGACGTGTCCTCCAAACATATTTGACAGTGGCAACCGTATACATAATCGACAAGATGAAAGCTGCCACGACTCGTACAAATACATATTCACTACTTTTGTTATTCCATATAAGTGGATGGATCAAGGTAAGTAACTGACTTATTACTGGATTTTGTTCATGATTATTTGCAGACATACTCTTGTCCATATTACTCCTAATTAAATGGGTTTATGAAGAAAGTATGTATAGGGATTAGGAAGTAATCATACTTGGTTTGTTGATTAGATTTGCATTAGAGGGAGCTAGGTGTGCTATTGTACAGGGTGTGTTGTTTTTTGGCAGCATGCCATTAATGATGAAGAAGAATGGAGGGAGCCGCCATTGATAAGGAAGAGAGCACGCACGAGGGGCATCGATTATGGGTAAGGTGGGATCCCCGCGCCCATGCGCTCTCCCTCTCGAGATAATAAATCTCATTCTCATCCCTATATGCTTTCTCCTTCCTTCCTTCCACCTCAAGTTGGAAAATTTTGTAAAGCTAACCCTACCATCATGTAACCTAATTCTACTGCAATTCTAATACAGTAATACTCTTTGAGGTTAAAATGTTCATAATTGTTAGAATCCTGCATGTTCGGTAGTTTTGGATGCACACAATGACAATTGCATCAATGACAATTGTTTCGTTGGCGAAACTCGTGTGTTAACTGCGCACTGTTTTCAAGAAAAGCACAAAACACACACGTCAATCACAACCGTCAAATATCCGCCGCCGAAGTCGGCGTCGTTGATTTGATCGATTAAAGCAGAAACCAAGACGATCGTCAAATGGCCGCCGCCGGTATCGGCGTCGTTGATTTGATCGATACACCTTTGACTTCTAATCAAACAACCGTTATTCGGTTCAACACCTCTCCAAACTACGTTCGAACGAGGGTGTTCGACGAATAAACAGAGAATCGAACCAGGAGTGTTCTAAGTTACGTTACCTCTACTCCTATGGAGGTTCCTCTGGAGAGCTCCGCGACTACGACTACAAGCTACAATCTACGACTCTGCAAAGGAGTTCTTTGACAGAGCGGTTCTACGAAACTAGAGAGAAAAAAGGTAATTCTGCAATGGTGCAGTTGTGATTTGATTTTGCCGTCCCCAGCTTCTCTCTCTTCCCAATCTTTATACTTCGCGCTTCTCCCCATCGTAGTAACTGCCTTGGCGCCTTTGTCTCCCACGTCTTCATTCCTGTCAACCGTGCAGGTAACTTCCTCCTTGTTGCGTGATAATCACGTGCCCTCGAAACCGCTCTTGCTTTGCAGAAACTTGGCGAAACGACTTACAACCTTGTCCATGTAACGATGACGTTTCACCAATACCACGACATCGCCTTTCACCAACCAATGCCGTTTTATAATCCAACTCAACTGCCCCGACCCGGTTTAACCAACGACATTGTTAGTCCATCAAACAACGTCGTTCTCTAGTCTTGCGCTGTCGTTGGGCTTGGCGGGCCACTTTTGGCCGAGCTCTTAACCACTGCGATATCGTTTTTAATCAAACGATATCGTTTATGATACCGCGATGTCGTTGATACCTCCTGCGGCATCGTTTAATCTTTCCGCGGCATCGTTTTTCACTAATCGATGCCGACCTTGAACTGCTCCGTCCCGGTCCCATCAAACAATGTCGTTTTCATTCCACGACATTGTTTTCTACCAAACGGTACCGTTTTTCTTGTCTTGTGGTGTCGTTGAGCTTGCCGGGTCACTCGCCAAAATCCAAACCATCGTGGTATGGTTTTTAACAAAACGACATCGCTTAGTAATACTACGGCGTTGTTGATGCCTTAAACGGTGCCGTTTTTAGCTAAACAACACCGCTTGATTATACCCGCGACATCGTTTTCAAATCCGCGGTGTCGTTTCTTTCCTCTTGCGGCATCGTTTTCAACTAAACGACACCGTCCTAAACAGCCATTAAAATATTAATTAATTAATTAACCCGTCCATCACTAGCTATGGCCAACGACATCACTAGCGCCATAACAACTCCGTTGTTTGCTTTTCCTTTCTGCGACACTGTTTCTTATTTAAACACTGTCGTTTGCTAGTCCGCGGTACCGTTGGGCTTACTCGCGGTACCGTTTTGAATTAAACGACATCGCCGATATAGCTAAAAAATATTAATCCATGGAACCGCCGCAGTCGGCGCTCTCATTGGGCCGGGCGAATTTTGGTCACTTGCCCAATATGATTTATAATTAATCGGTACCGCTTACCAGACTTTCGCGGTACCGTTTTTAAAGCCGCGGTACCGTTTTAACTCTTCGCGATACCGCTTATCTCCATGCGGTACCGATTTTCCCCTTCCAACTAGGAATAAAAATATTAATTAATTATAAACAAAACTCCTTCCCCAACACCTACACTGCGCGGCCCCTCTCCAGTTCCGCGGTACCGCCCAGCTTCCTCGCGGCTCCGATTTTCTATTTCGCGGTACCGTTTTAATTCCCCACGGTACCGCTTAATAAAAATAATAATTCAATAATCAAAACTCCTCCTCCTTCATTAAACGCGCGACCTTCTTTTATTTTCATCAAGCGGTGCCGTTTTCCATGCCGCGGTACCGCAGAGCTTCCTTGCGGTACCGTCTTTCTGTTTCGCGGTACCGTTTTAACTCTCCGCGGTGCCGCTCGACTCCAAACGACACCGTTTTTTACCCACGGTATCGAATTAAATGCCGAGACTAATTAATGCGGCATTTAATTCGGGCCAAATTAATTTTAGGTGTCAACAAATGCCCCCCACAATTTGGTTTATAAGAATTATGAACCAAATTGTTGTCACAACTTATACCACCTAAAATTTCATAACAATTAAGTTAACTTTGCCAAGAAAATTCACAAATCACGTTTTGCCAAAGGTGATTTTGGCAAAAGCTAGTAAAAGTGGCATTGTAATTCTATTTTGGGCTGCAAGGCTGCACCCACGGCAACGTTGTCCTGATCTTTTTTTTTATAATTTTTTTATTATTATTGAATTGGCCATCCCAAAACAACATAGTTGTTGCTCCACTCAGCGTTGCAGTACCGAGCAGTGTTGGTTTCAGCCAAAAACAGTTCTGCTTGATTAGCAATTCTTCCTGCCTCTAACAAAACTAGCCCGCCAATCTTGCAACGCAGTGTTGCTTTGGTAGACCACTGAATATATATTATTTTTTTTTTTTAAATCACTAATGACCAAAAGGTAACTCCAGTCCCGTATGGAACAGTCTATTTGAAAGACCCGCAACGCTGTTTTCCTTCCAAACAGCTCTGATTATTTTTCCATCAGTACTGTTTCAGCCACAATTTCTTTTTTTTTTTTTATCATGGCTGTTTTTGCCGCATACTATCCCTTTTTTTTTCAACATTGTAATTAGCCATTCACACCTAACAACTTTGGCCAAACGAAAAATCATATTGCATGACAAGTCCCAACTTCACTCCAACGGCGGTGATTTTTTTGTTGCAACGCCATTAGCGTCTATATAGCTCAGACCCTTACTTGCTCGACAATGTAAGATAATAACACATCGTTTAATTTGCACGACTGCGGTGTGCATATGCAATATTTTATGATAAACACGCATAAAGTAATCTTTAAATTCATTCAAGGGCTCCTTCGACTCGTACCTGTCGGGTTCTAGCAAGTTGGCACTGATGAAGGTTAAACGTAGATCCTCCTCCACACCAAGGTTGATTTTTTTCACAATGCCGCAAGCAGCTGCACTAAATCCTTCTTCCACCTTGTGACTTGAACCATCGTCATTGATAGGCGACTCACCATCTCGACCATAGTTGGCCATTAAAATAGGCTCCCTGCGAATAAGCCTATGTTCACACTCATAAATGGCCAACTTCTCTCTCAAGGCCGTGATTTCGGCCTCCACCACCTTCTCTCGAGGTGGATTACTCATTATTGACTTGTACTTCAGAATCCAGTGGACCATCTAATGCGAACAAATATGGTCTCACCATCTCGGACAACGGATTCATGCACGCCTTACTCAACACCCCTGCGTTTGAAACTACATTGTTGCATGATCCTCCTTCCATACTCCTAACCTTTTGAGTACCAAAGCCTTTGCGGTACCAAGGAGCCTCGACAACGTTGCCCCCCACGATGTCGACCATATTGATGCTGACGATGTTGGGAAATGGGTCAACGTCAACAGTCATGACCTCCTTTCTCGACTCCGATAACTTGAACCGCCCTTTTTCAATGGCATCCTGCACCACGTTGCGGAACACAACACACATGTTAGTCGAGTGAGAAGCACTGTCGTGCCACTTACAGTATCGTTTTCCTTTTAATTTTTCAGTTGGCGGGATCGTATGCCCTCCACTTAATTTAATTTGACCGTCTTTGTAGAGCTGGTCGAAAATCAACTCTGATTTTGAAACATCAAAGGAATATTTCCTAGTTTGAATCGGGGCACGATTGGGCTTTCCACCTTGTGGTTCCCCATCGGCCTTGGCTAGAGAAGCACACACATATGGCTTCCCCTGCACAATCTCGGCCAAATCAACTTCAACTTCGTCAACATCGTTGTCGACGTTATTCACACCATAGTTTTCAAACTTAGGAAAATATTGTCCGCGAGAGCCACTTCTCTTATGTTCTTCTTCACGGAGAAGAGATTCATATCTAACAGCGCATGACATCAATTGAAACAAATCAGAAAATTCCCTATCTTGAAACTTTTTACGAAGTTCAAAATTCAATCCACCCTGGGCCAGTTTAACAAACTCGCGTTCTGTCAAGTTCACAAAACAGCGATTTCTTGCATTTTTAAAGTTTGTTAAAAAGTGTTCCACTGTTTCTCCTGGCTGTTGGCGCATTCGTGCCAAATCTGCCATTGTTACTTCTGGCTCGGAACGGTAGAACTGAGCATGGAACATTTGTTCCATTTGCTGCC